AAAATCGAGAGGGTCATGAATTTTTAAATGGAACAAGACAATGGAAAACAAAACATGGCCCCTGGCTAATCTCGCCCAAAAATATCTATTCTTTATTTTCCATAAAAATTCCTCTTTAAGAGTTCTAAAGGATAATTAAAACAAGTTCAAATCATTTTTTTTTACTTTTTATATGATTTTACTGGCATCGTCTTTTGGCTTTTGTAATTTTTCATATATCTAATCTCAAGTAATACAAGCTGCCATATTATTTTCTTATTCTTCATAAAAATAAAAATCTACTGATATACAATAATCTCAAAATAAACTTACATGGAAGGATTTGGAACGATTCACACGGAAAAAAAGCAGTCAAATCATGCACCCATTTTTTTTTTTTTTAATTATGTATATACATTCACTATTTTTTGTGGTCCACTTGACCAATTAATACCATTCAATTGAAAAATGGCAAAAAGGAGGGAAAATTCAAAAGGGTGCGGTTGAGATGGGAGGTTGGTGTCCGAGTGGATCGAAGTCACGATAGCTCAAGTGGTAGAGCAGCGGCGTATCAAACCGAAGGTCGTGGGTTCAAATCCCGCTCGTGACACTGACTTTTTTATCTCAACTTAAAACCTTAATTAATTGAATTATATATATAAATTCTAGCTAGCCAGCATAGACTATATGTATAATTAATTGTTGTTTAATTTTGCCAACTGAGATAAAAATAATCAAAATAATTTAATTTACAATTAAAACAATCATTAATATTATACATAACGTATCATCTGGTTCTGTCTTCTCTTCTGCTCGAAGAAAGGCAATTTTCACTTCAACGTTCCCTCATTAAATCCGTGTGAAACTCACGTCCTCATTTCCCGTCATAACTGTGTGAATTTGTCTTGTCTTTCTTTTCTTAAAAAATGAAATGAACTATTTATTTCGTTGTGATAGGAAAAAAAAAATTATTTGGGCATTATGGATTGAAATGCAAACTGACAACATTGCTTAAATTTATTATTTTTGGCAAAAGTGGTTATTTATTTTGTTATTAGCAATGTTTTTAATTATTCTAGAGTAGATGTGCTTATAACGTTACTAATTTGAGAGTACAAATAGTCTTACAAAAGTATTCGTAAATTTTTCTTTTAAACTTTCTTCATTTTTCCTTACCTTATTACTTCAATTTTATTGAAAATCTTTAAAACAGTTTTTATAAACCAATCGAATTTCTATCACCTTTGCAATTTAAACAGATTCTTAGTAAATTATAATCTGAATCGGTAGCTGCCAAAACTTTTAGATTAGTTTACAGGCTTAACTTTGAAAAATATTAGTTTACAAGTGCATTAACTGATACATAATGTAAGATTACATACGCTAATATCTGTAAGACCTTCATCACCTTGTATAAAAATAATAAATAAAATTTAAATTAAGCCAAACGTTTAGTAATCCGACTTGTATTAATTGGCGTGTTCCACAGGGATGTGTTTTAGGGCCTGTACTATTTTTAATTTACATTAACGATTTACTTAAACTCAAACTTTATGGTAAAATACTGGGATTCGCTGATGATACTATAATTCTTTCTGGCAAGAATTATGATCATGTAATAATAATAATTACAAAATGGTTAGATAGTTGTATTTTACTTTTAAATACACTTAAAAATCCCAATATCGTTAAGTTTAGTCTCTCAAATCAAAACAATTTAAATGAAAACATAGTATTACATTCTTGTGTAAAATAATTTAACTGTAATTGCCCAATTATACCCTTTTTCTAAACATGTTAAATATTTAAGAATAATTTTTGATAACAAATTAAACTTAAAAGTTTAATTTGTTTAATTTATAGTTTTTAATTTATTTAATGGGATGGTACCACAAAATCTACAATTGCTCTAATAATTATTGCTCACAATTCTTTAATAATCAATACACTGCAAGAACAAATTTGTTAATAAAATTTATTGTTCCAAAAGGAAACGCTTTCATGCATTTTAAGAATGCATATAATGTAGTATTAAGATTCATATATCAAAACAAAATTGTTATAAATTCCTTCCCTCTATGATCATTTTAATTTTTTTTAAACCTATATAATTAAAAAGAGAAATTTTTTAAAAGTAATATATTAATTCAATAATTATTTAAAAAATTACATTAAATACCAATAGTCTAATAAATTGAATATGTACTGCTACCACTAATTTGTATAAATCAGTTTTGTGATATTTTTATTATGTATAAAAACATTTGTGAGCTCATAACTTCTGCATTCAAGCACAAGGTAAATTTGGTGAGAGGGACCGCAGGTGCTGGTCGGTCTTGGGCTGGATTGAGGGGCTATGAGGTCGAGGAATCTCCAGTGAGCTTGGAGGTGTCGACGGTGACCACGACGCCGACCCCTCCTCGATAAAGCTCCCTAAATTAAGATTAAAAGCATCAGTTGCGAGAGATCCGTGCAGTTCCTTTCTTTCCGAGCATGGGACTGCCTGATGGGGTTGGGCTGCATCGTTGAGTTGTATAGCCTCAAAGCTTAATGACCAATAAGATCGCAGCCTTTATTTATTTAAAAAAACAAAAAAAACACTGAGAGCAGGCTGTTCATTTTACATTTTGTTCTACATTATCATTCAATTTTTTTTTTTAATAAGAATAATGTATTCAATTTACGGCAGATAAATTCATTTTTGTTTTGTCTTTGGATTTTTGACCATGCAAGGTTGGCCATTATTGAAACTTATTAAAACGAAAATAAATTTTATTTTATGCACCCCCATAATTGCTGGATAACTTGGACAAAATCAAATATTTCTCAGTGCTAAAACTTTTTTTTAAATTGAACGTTCACACTTTTCCAGCTATATGGATTGTTTCTGGGATGAAGTCTAAGTCAAGAAGGTCTATTGACCAAATTACTTCTTTCAATTAATTAATCTTTTTATGTAAGGTTTTGGTTGAAATGAAAAAGTTAGCGCTATGAGTGGGATTCGAACCCACGACCTTCGGCTAAATACGCCGCTCTGTCGGTGTCAGAGTGGATCGAAGTCACAATAGCTCAAGTGGCAGATTTAGCCTAAGGTCGTGGGTTCAAATCCCGCTCATGGCGCTAACTTTTTCATTTCAACCAAAACCTTATGTAAAAATATTAAGTTTAATATTTTTTCTTTAGGTAACCTTTTTCCTCAATATTTTATTACAGTCTGTTATTCTTGGTTACAATATGTAATTTGATGAACGTAAATATATTTACACCTATTAATATAGAACGAATAATTACTATTATTCTTTGACTTCATTTCACTGAATAAACTTGATCCTCAGGAAGGATTGTCTCTTGTTACGCCTTATGGGATTGTATGGATGGGTTCTGTTGGACAAGGCTTTGGCGAGACTATCGGGATGATGGGAGAGATTATTGTGGAACTTGGTGAATTTTTTACGAATTATGTTTAGGATAAATGCCTTAATAAAATTAAGGTCATGGTTTATGCTAATGCTCAGCCATGGCAAGAATCAATCCTTTAGGACAATCTCAAAAGGAATGTTCAGTAATGGGATCAACCCCATGCGTCCTGAGTTGCAACAACATACCAGGATTTTTTAGAAAAATATTTGCCAGCCAAAAAAGATAGAAGAAGTCATAAAATCCGGAGATTTATGTAAAACCAGATGTTCTCATAAAATACAAAAATGTCACCATACGGCTTATAAAAAAGCTCAAGAAGCTAATGCCTGATGATAATGAGGCGTAAAATGAAAAAGATAGCCATCACAGGGTTTTGAAATTTTTTTTTTGCCAAGTCAAAAGTACTTGCAAGCTACAGGGAAAAAAGGGACAAAGTAGAAGTCAATAAATATATATGATTTTATTTGAATTAAAAATAATTAATTAAAGTAAAGTAAAAACCAGCAAAATAGGCAAGAAAATAAATCATCAGTTTGTTTAAAGTACTTCTGGTTTCAGAGACTTTTAGAAATAATTGTTTTTATGGATTTGAATGTTATGATATATAAAAAAGTTATTTTTATGTACAAAAATTATGCATACATGTTAGCTTATTACGTTGGTTTGCATCCTATTTAGAAGGTCGAATGCTTAAAATAAAAGTAAAATCAGTACTGACACATTGTTTTGGAGTTGCTCAAGGTTCGCACTTAGGGCCTTTTCTTTTTAAAATCTATATAAATGATAGGACCGTAACGATAATAACTGTAGGAAAAAATGTTTCCATTTGCCTTCTCTTGCATCATTTCATATATATTCTCATTTGTTCCGCATCTTCAGCTTGTACCTCACTCGTGATCGATTTTCAACTTAAACTTGAACCAACCAGCCCTGGGCTGCCACTTTAGCCAACCTATCATTTCAGTGAATCTCCTGTCGAGCCCTTGCCCATGAAATGCCCAACTCGTAATAACGATAACTCGTACAGCTTTCCAGAATGTCAAATGGTCGATCGTATTTGTTAATTTAATGGTAATGCTACTCGACTATCTGTCCACAATTTGGCACTTTTTGGCTCATTGATATCTTTTCTCATTTCTAGCCATTCAAGAATTATAATAATAACAAGTGATTTTGCCTGGTTATTTGAATATACATGAGCCAACTTGATTTTTTGTTCCAGTAAAGTTTAACTGGACTCGTCTGAAGCTCACAACTGACAAACAAGTCCTGATGAAAGAGAAGTTCCTTGAAAGCTTGACTAAGGAACTAAGCATTTTTGTTTTCTTTCAAATTGGCCTTATCTCTGATTTTGAGATTATTTTCTACATTAATTCACTACTTTCGTGGTCCGCTTGACCAATTAATTGTCATTATTTTCTACATTGAGATCCAAATTTTTGCTGATTTTTAATCCAAATGCTTTCTTCTTTTGAACACACAACATTATAAACATTCACAAAATTGCACACAATTAATAAAGCCTCAATTGATTTTTTTTTTATTGGCCATTTTGTTTTTCAACTTGTAAAAAATTGAACTAAAACTATAATTTTTTTTAGGGCGTAGTGATTTTGTGGGTGGGATTGATAACGAAGCACTCGATTTTAGCCAGTTAGAAGATTTTATCAATGATGAAACAGATCAGTCTAATTCGTAAGCAGTTTTTAAAAAATTTAATCTGGGTTAGTTATTTTTAAAGTTATTTAATTAATTAATTAATTTTTTTCAGCTACTTTGGAGAATCGTTGTGCGCAGACAGGACCCCTAGGACTCTCACCATCGTCGGCCACATTTCAACGAATCCCCCCATCGATGCGCAGCATTACACACAACCGTTTGTATTATTTATTTATTTTTAATCTTGTGGTCATTACAAAGGTTAAAATTTGATCTGTATATCAGGCACAATTTACCTGAAAGCCCACCTGATTCGGGATCGGAGCCTCCTTATTCACCTCAGGAGGCGACAAAACCGCATTCACCGCGTAACCGTGAGTCTTGGTGTTTTCCCTTCAGTCAAGATTATTTCCTAATGAAGAATTTTCCTTTTCAGAAGGGAAAGTCGGAGCCGTCGAAGAGCTTCTCCTCACGCAGGGAAGCGTATACGGCAAACTCCTCGCCCCGACTGAACTCCACCCTACTGTTTTAAGCCATACTCCTATTCACGAACCGCTATCTCCTCTCTCAGGTATTTTTTTATCTTCTAACTAAATGGCTTTTATTAAAATCGTTATTCTTTAAACAGGCAGCACACTCATAACAACAGCCGCACCACAGACTGATGACACTGCAATCACAGCTGTTTACACAGCGCTGAAAAAGAGAAAGTTAAGTCAAGACAACACAAATGTTAAGCAGGAACAACCTGGTAAACTTAGTTTTATTATTTATTGTATAATTCAGCGTATTAATTTTTTTTCTTGTCGTCATGCAGAATTGGTTGTTGAAGATGACGTGTCCTATCAAGATGGAGGGACGGAGAACGGAATGTACCTCGACTCGAGTAGCTTCCAGTGTATCAGATTCCAGCCATTCCAGCAAACCTCCTGGCACACTCTTTGTGATCACAACCTCAAGGAACTGTAAGTTTTAGTTAAAGTTTAATCAAAGACAATTAATAATAATTTTTTTATTTTAGGCCTTCACCACACTACAGAGTTGATGCCGACAAAGGGTTCAACTTTTCGAACACCGACGATGCTTTCGTTTGTCAAAAGAAAAACCACTTTCAGATAACATGCCACACCCAGCTCATAGGGGATCCGCATTTTGTCAAAACGCCTGAAGGCCTACGTAAAATTGACAACTTTTATTTACACTTTTACGGTGTCAAAGTTGAATCGCCGTCGCAGACGATTAAAGTTGAACAGTCGCAGAGTGACAGGAGTAAAAAGGCTTTTCATCCTGTTATGTAAGGACAAACATATTTAAAACATACACTTCATTTTTAGTTTATTAAAATGTAATTTATAGTTAAATTCACTAATTTCGTGGTCCGCTTGACCAATTAATATATTAAAATTAATTAAGGTTTTTAGTTGAGAGAAAAAAGTCAATGGCATGAGCGGGATTCAAACCCACGATCTTCGGCTTGATATGCCGCTGCTCTACCACTTGGTGTCCAAGTGGATCAAAGTCACGACAGCTCAAGTGGTAGAGCAGCGGCGTATCTAGCCGAAGATCGTGGGTTCGAATCCCGCTCGTGCCATTGACTTTTTTATCTCAACTAAAAACCTTAATTAATTGTAATTTATAGTCTTCAAGGTTATCCCTGATCATCTCTGATCATTCTGGTCTTATTCTCACCGGTTTTGCCTGATGCTTTTTCGGCAGTTTGGTATCTACAGATCAACCAGTGAGAATAGGCAAACCAGGATGATCAGATAAAGCTAATTAAACTGGCACTGGAACACTTGGTGATATTACTTAAACATACGTTTTGGCTTTATGCCATCTTCAGTGAGGAACTGACTAAAAACACAGAAGTATAGACTTACCCAGTGCCAGTTGTATTTTCAAAATTCAATTTTTTTAAATTATAACAGAACAACAATAAAGAAAAATATCTTTTATTACTAAAAACATAATAAAATAAATATTTAAATTTATCGTTACTGATTCTGTGTATACTCGCTGAGTCTGTCAGACACGTTTTTGCAGGGCAATTTTTTTTAAATCATGTTTCTTTTATAACGTCGTGAAGAGTGGGTTGTCTGGCAGACCAAAAATCGATAAATGATCAAATTTCAAGTTTAATCAACCCGTAGATCTCACAGTTTTGTTTTATTTTAATTAACAGGCTTGATCTCAAAAATGAAGAAGTTTCAAAAGTGACGGTCGGCAGGCTTCACTTTAGTGAGACAACATCAAATAACATGAGGAAAAAAGGGAAGCCCAATCCCGACCAAAGATATTTTTACTTAGTCGTCGGACTGCATGCCCACTGTACCGATTCGTCGCATTATCAGATCGCATCCCACGCTTCCGAGAGGATTATTGTCAGAGTAAGTCTCCCGTCTGCATCGCTCAAAAGGAAAACAAACACAATAATTAAATTTCGACAGGCCTCAAACCCAGGACAGTTTGAGAACGACGGAGAAGCCGTGTGGCAACGGGGAGTGACCGGCGATTCGGTGTTCCATTGTGGCAGAGTCGGGATTAATACAGAAAGGCCTGATGAGGCGCTGGTTGTCCATGGCAACATCAAACTCACCGGGCACATTGTCCAGCCTAGCGACATTCGCGCCAAGGCATATATACAGGAGGTCGACAGCAGGCAGCAGCTCAACAACCTGTCCAAATTGAGAGTAGTCAAATATAGATACAAACCCGAGTTTGATCAGGACTCAACGACCCATACAGGTCTAATCGCCCAAGAGCTGGTCTCTGTCCTGCCTGATGCCGTTACCGACTCTGGCGACATGACCCTTCCATCAGGAAACACCATAAGCAACTTTCTAGTAATAGACAAGGTAAAATCTCAAATTATTTTTTTAATCCAAAACTTAATTCTTCATATCGAAATTTAGGAACGAGTCTTCATGGAAAACATCGGTGCTGTTAAAGAACTCGCCAAAGTCACGCATAACTTGCAAACGAGATTACAAGAACTTGAAAGAGTAACTCAATACAATAGTAAGTATTCACAAAATAAAAAAAAATCAATTTCTAATTCATACATAATTTTACGTAATAGTGCCCATGAAGAAAAAGAAGCATTCAAAAAAGAAGATTTTAGAAGAGGAGACTTGTTCGGATACCATGATCCAAAGCACAATATACATGCTGATCATAATCATGGCTTTATGGTAAATATTTAACGATTTATTTAACAAAAACATATTTAACAAAACCTAAACTTTTGCAGCTTAATATCAATGGCTGGCTTGTATTTCTTTGAAGTACACAAAAGAGTCCCGATGGAACAACTTATAACGTAAGACATAAATATATATTTAATTAGTAATTAATTAGCAGTTTTTTTATGCAAAGACGGTTGAGAAGAAAAATTAGTGTCACGAGCAGGATTCGAACCCACCTTCGGCTGATATATGCCATTGTTCTAAACTCTTGAGCTATCGTGACCTTATTATTTCCAATTTTTTATGCAAAGATGGTTAAGATGAACGAGCTGAAGGTCTTGGGTTCGAATCCCACTCATGACACTAAATTTAAAAATTCTATAAACTTAGAAACTTTAAATAGTACTAATAATATCATTAATAATAAGAAAATATCCAATCAATTTAAATCAAAACAATAAACCTGTCAATTTAAATTCTGTCCAGGCTTTTCTGGAGTTGAACTTACAGACAGGTAAAATAAAGTCAAAATTACATCGGTTCATAAACCGGCAGGAAACCACTTCCCAAACCTTTTTCGAGTTTGTTTCTGACAAATATTTTACCATATGTGTGTTATTTGTGAATCGAGCAAGTTTTGAGCTTATATTTATAAAGGGGGCTGATATGTATATTAAGTTTAGCAATGGGCCTAAGACGTTCCCTAGAGAAACACCCTTTTATGGATTGTTCGGAAAATAATGCAGGTTTTCATGTTTTCTTTCAATTCCCTCTATACAATAAAGTGTTTACATTTTGATGGATTATTATTTTGTATGAATGTCAACACTTTTTAATCCTCTTCTGAACAAAAATGTTTCTTTTCACTGTTTGGGATTCTTGTTTCGATTTTTGGAGGAACTAGGTTTTTATTGTATTTAGTCCTTGGTATAATATTGTTTTGTATTTCCTTTTGTTCATATTGAAAGTGAATGTATTTATTTGAGTGAAAGTTTATATTTTTATTTGTTCTTCTAAAATACAAAGATAAATTTTGAACAGTTATAATGGAGAAATTTTTAATTTTTCTATGATCCAAAATTTTAAAATATTCTATAACAGTGAGGATTTATCCCATATAAAACAGTATAAAACATTTAGAGGATCCGTTTTTTAATAAATTCTTCAATGAAAAGAAAAAGAAATGATTTTGAAAAATTTATGCCAGGGACAGAAATGAAATCGTAGCACTCAACGCTCTACCCAACGGATCCAAATTCAGGATGAAACCCTCTGTGCAAACGTACCTCCCTTCAATCAAGGACAAGATGATGTGAGTTTTATATTTTTAAACTTTTTTTTTTTTAATTAATTGATTTTATGATTTTTCAAGTTATACGTACAACGGTTTAATTAATTGATTTTATGATTTTTCAAGTTATACGTACAACGGCCCACCGATCGTCGGCTCTCCCTCGCACTGCGACGGACCGCAAAGCTGCCAGGTATGTTCTACGATTGTCGATTGATTCAAACAGTAAAACATTAAATTTATTTTTAATTTTAGATATTTTGTTGCAATTCGCCGTCCAAGAAAATTAATTCTATTCAAGATATTCTCTTCGATCAAGGTTGTTAATGCTTATTTTATTATTGTACCTTTTTTTTTTTTTTTTTTAATAATATGTTGTTAAATATAACAGGCAGCAATTTACTGGAAGATCAAGAAAGTCCTGCTATTGTTGCAGACCAACAGGTACGATATTTTCAAATATCAAAGCTAGATTTAGAATTAATTACATTTGGAAACTACATTGATGGACAAATTTAATGGACCACCCAATTTTTTTAGTTTAAAATTAAATCCATTCGTTGTGCATTTTCCCTTACTAATGAGGAGCTATCATAGTCAAAATGAGCATTAAATAATGCTTAGTTTCCTTCCTTTATTTACGTTTGTACTGATTAATCCCATTTGGACAAAAAGTAGAATTATTTTATTATTATTAGTAGTAGAATTATTATTTATAATTTCTATTCTGCTATGCCTAAAATCGCTTTCAGTTCTTTTTCCTTCATTGATTATTCTTATTCCTGAACCTTTTTAAACCGTCAGGCATTTGAGTGAGTACAGTAACAGGGTCATAACTTTAATAGAGAAAACTCTCGGCTTGTAGAACCCGCAGTTGTGGTTTCGATTCCCACCGTCGCCCTGGCCCTTTTTTTCTCGCTACCTTTTCCCCCAACTACGTACATTTAAAAAATAAAAAGTCACAAAGTCACCAGGAGACTGAGTGTAAATCATTGAACAATAAGAAAAGTTCTTCGGCACTTCAAAAAAACAGCTTTACACAGAAGTCCAGGGCAGGGTAGACCTAGGTCTACAGACCACAGAGACTAAAGCCAGAAACACAATTACCCGATGCTACGCCATGCGATGCTACCCGATGCAAATCCAAACTCCTATTTTCCATAAGGTTGCATTAACCCTGTGCACATCTACCCGATGCTATGCCACACTAACCTACCCGACGCTCTGCGATCCCCACTGTCCAGATTTTCATCGGGTCGCATCGAGTACAGTCGAAGACAAAAGAACCGGACACTCATATTTTTATTCAAACTACATGTATTATTGTCGTTATATTAATTACAACATACTTATTTTAATATAAACCAAATTAACTGTGATTAAAAATTAATTAGTTTTTATTTAAAAAATTAATTTTAATGGTTTGGTAGAAAATTAATCAAAACACCGGAATACGATTTTTTGATATAATGAATTTAACTAACAATTTATTGTACTCGCTTCGGCGGTACATATACTAAAATTGGAACAATTTATTACACGGTTTTGCTCATAAAATTTAATTAACAATTTATTTCATAGTTTTGCTCGTAAAATTACACCATTTTGTAATGTCGGGTAGCATCAGAACAGGACACTCATATTTTTTGTAGTTTATTTCAAACTAAGTACATGTAATTTTGTCGTTATATTAATTACAACATGTTATTTTAATGTAAACCAAATTAAACGAGATCAAAAATGCATAAGTTTTTATAAACATTGTTTAATTATGATGGTTAGGAGTAACTTTATTTAAAACAATTAAGTTTAACAAACAATTTATTAGATGGTTGTGCTCATAAAATTTAACTAACAATTTATTACAAGGTTTTGCTCAAAATAGTGCATTAAGAACAAAAGATGCGTTGCGATTGTGATAGTGATTATTGTGATAAACGCTGTGGACTGTACGCGACGTGTGCTTGCGTCGGATAGATGTGCACACCCCACCAAAACGTGGCAAGGCGTCGGGTAGCATCAGATAGCGTCGCATGGTGTAGCGTCGGGTAAGTGTGTTTCTGGCGTAAAGATTCATCCGTCATCAGGCTCTATTAAACCGCTGCATTATGGGAAATGAGATAAGAAATTTGATGACAAGTCCAATATGTTTTGATTTCCTCCACAACTGTACAAAGAAGGCCCACTGAAAATAACCTCATGGTTAGGAATCCAAATTTTGGACTTCTTACCGCAGCTCAGAAAATGTCCAGTTTCAATTCGAAGGACATTGGGGACGAGTTCATTTTACAAATGAGGTGAAATGTCTCAAATCTTTAATTGGGAGTAATTTCATATGGAGACGCTAAGGAGAAAAGTATGCCCCATGCCATATGGCTCCATACGGTTGGTACTTCACAGAGGTACTTATAAGACCTAATCAAAGATCATATAGTGCCATGAATTGTACATTGGGGTTGGGTTCCTTTTACAAATGAGGTGAAAGGTCTCAAATCTTCAATTGGGAGTAATTTCATATGGAGACGCTCAGGATAAAAGTATGCCCTGTGCCATATGATTCCATACAGTTGCTACTTCCCAGAGGATTTGATAAGACCTAATCAAAGATCATATAGTGCCATTTGCCCTCCACATCGGTGAGAGATTCTTGCTAATGCAGGATAATGCCAGCAGCACAGAGTATTGTGGATGACTACCTAAAGTTGGAATTTAGTGCTTGTGTAGCAAGCTCGAAGTCCAGATTTGAACCCTTGATTTGAACTTGACAAAGTTAAGTGATGAGTACGATGGCGAAACCCAGGTCCTAACACCCTAGAAGAGGTGGATTTTTTTTTTATGAATGGGTAAGAATTCCTTGGGATTTTATCAGAAATCTTTTCCAAAGAATGCAAAGGTGTTTGACGGACGATTTGTGCCAACCACGTATTCGGATAGTCAAATCAAGGACAAAAAGGTTTTTTTTTTTTTTTTTTTTTTTTTTTTTTTTGTTCTTTACTCAACAATTGTTTTTTTGGAATTAGGTAATAAACATTTTATTTTTACAACCAAACCTATTTTTTGTTTTTTGTCCGCTTGACCAATTAATGTCTTTCAGTTAATTAAGGTTTTTAGTTGAGATAAAAAAGTCAGTGTCACGAGCGGGATTCGAACCCACGATCTTCGGCTAGATACGCTGCTACTCTACCACTTGAGCTATCGTGATCCACTCGGACATCAACTTCCTATCTCAACCCCACCTTTTGAATTTTCCTTCCTTTTTGCCATTTTTCAAATGTCGTGTAATCTAACAGTGTGTCTAGCCGAAGGTCGTGGGTTCGAATCCCGCTCGTGACACTGACTTTTTATCTCAACTAAAAACCTTAATTAATTGAAAGACATTAATTGGTCAAGCGGACGAAGAAAAATAGTGAATTGAAAAAGTTAAAACGAAGTATACTTCACCAAAGCTCTCCGTGGCCATTTCATTTGTCGCTGAGAATCGAATAGATTACATGACATTTGAAAAATAGCGAAAAGGGAGGGAAAATTCAAAAAGGTGGGGTTGAGATGGGAAGTTAGTGTTCGAGCGGATTGAAGTCACGATAGCTCCAGTGGTAGAGTAGCGGCGTATCGAGCCGAAGGTCATGGGTTCAAATCCCGCTCGTGACACTGACTTTTTTATCTCAACTAAAAACCTTAATCAATTGAACTTACGAATAAACCTAAATACATTAAAATTTAAGTGTGATGTGTTTATTTTGGTCCATCAGTGGATTAGACCATTTATTAAAATATATAATATGCGCTTTATAAAAAAAAAAGACTTAAAACTATTCTGTTTTGTTCTTTTAGAAATCATTGTGGATAGAATCTGCAGGAATGCGAAAATCTAAACGTGTTCCACTACACTCCGGTGTGTTTACATTCGAAACAATTATTTTTTAAAATTTTCCTTGTTTTGTTAAATTTACAGATAATTGTGGTTTTTAGTTTTTGGATCGAGGATGGTAATGGTCGAGGGTACAGGATTCAATACAACACTAGGCCCTAAAAATTGCGACCCGACGCATTCCCAGTATCTGCAGTGCAAACATTACACGGCGAACAATTACTCTTATATAGTGCCTATAAGTAGATTCCTGAACGACCCCGTGCTCAAAATCCATTTCAGGTATGTGAGAAAAGAACTGCTGTTGTGGGGAAAAAAATTAAACCTGACTTTTTTTTTAAATTAAAGGGTGGAAGGAGTCGGTGATGAGACGGTCGTCTGGTGCGGCGGTACAGAACAAGGCTGTCCGACTTCAAAACCAAACGTGAAGGAATTCCCTTCCCTCCCAAGCAACACATTCCAAGTCGACATTGAACACCTGAACCAAGCGCACAGAGTGTACAGAATGGCTCCGAACCACATGGACATCAGTTTTAAGGTGATTCAGAAAATATCGAATAATTTCTTGCAGTTGAATCTTAAAAACTGACAGTTTTATGAGTAGCAAAAGGGTGGATTAATCACACTAAACCCTGAGTATTACATCGTAGCCCCCAATATTAACCACAATTGACCACTACATCATTACATTTACACATGTTGATCGATCCTATCAATAATTTATTATATTTTAATTTTTCCTATTTCCTTACTTCTCATTTCTGTCTAAAGTCATGGAAAAAAATCATATTAAATGAATCCCCTCATAAACTCCCAAAACATCATACCAGACCATCAATTTCGCTTCCGTTCACATCACCATTCAACAGGGTCATCGAGTGGTAGATGGCTTCTTCCTTGTTGTGGCTACTGCAAGGAAACATCCTAGGTCATCTTCTATATACAATACACCCTGACAATATCCCTCTAAATCCTAACACATTCAATAGATATTGGCAAGCCAGAGAAGGTGCAGAGCTTTCCTTTTTCTTCCTTATTGGGGTGAGTCTACTGCTAGGAAGCATCCTAGGTTCTCTCCTATATAAAATATACACTGACGATATCCCTCTAAATCCTAACACATTTGATAGGTTTTACCAAGTCAGAAAAAGGTGCAGTTTTCCTGTTTCTTCCTTATTGGGGCTAGACTACTGCAAGGAAGCATCCTAGGAACTCTCCTATATAAAATATACACTAACGATATCCCTCTAAATCTTACCACATTCGATAGGTATTACCAAGTCAGAAAAGGTGCAGAGTTTTCCTTTTTCTTCCTTGTGAAACTACTGCAAGGAAGCATCCTCGGTCCTCCCCTATATAAAATATACACTAACGATATCCCTCTAAATCTTAGCACATTCGATAGGTATTACCAAGTCAGAAAAGGTGCAGAGTTTTCCTTTTTCTTCCTTGTGAAACTACTGCAAGGAAGCATCCTAGGTCCTCCCCTATATAAAATATACACTAACGATATCCCTCTAAATCTTAGCACATTCGATAGGTATTACCAAGTCAGAAAAGGTGCAGAGTTTTCCTTTTTCTTCCTTGTGAAACTACTGCAAGGAAGCATCCTCGGTCCTCCCCTATATAAAATATACACTAACGATATCCCTCTAAATCTTAGCACATTCGATAGGTATTACCAAGTCAGAAAAGGTGCAGAGTTTTCCTTTTTCTTCCTTGTGAAACTACTGCAAGGAAGCATCCTCGGTCCTCCCCTATATAAAATATACACTAACGATATCCCTCTAAATCTTAGCACATTCGATAGGTATTACTAAGTCACAAAAGGTTCAGAGCTTTCCTGTTTCTTCCTTGTTGGGGCTAGACTACTGCAAGGAAGCATCCTAGGTCCTCTCCTATATACAATATACACTAACGATATCCTAAATCCTAGCACATTCAATAGGTATTACCAAGTCACCAAAGGTTCAGAGTTTTCCTTTTACTTCCTTGTTGGGGCTAGACTACTGCAAGGAAGCATCCTAGGTCCTCTCCTATACGTAATGTACGCTGCTGATATCCTTTTAAATCTTAATACATCAATAGGTATTACCAAGTCAGAAAAGGTGCAGAGTTTTCCTTTTTCTTCCTTGTGAGACTACTGCAAGGAAGCATCCTAAGTCTTCTCCTATGTACAATATACACTGACGATATCCCTCTAAATCCTAACTCATTCGATAGATTTTACCAAGTCAGAAAATGTGCATAGTTTGCCTTTTTCTTCCTTGTTGGGGCTAGACTACTTCAAGGAAGCATCCTAAGTCCTCTCCTATATATAATGTACACTGCTGATATCCTTTTAAATCTTAATACATCAATAGGCATTACCAAGTCAGAAAAGGTGCAGAGTTTGCCTTTTTCTTCCTTGTGAGACTACTGCCAGGAAGCATCCTCGGTCTTCTCCTATATAAAATATACACTAACGATATCCCTCTAAATTTTTGCACATTTGATAGGTATTACCAAGTCACAAAAGGTTCAGAGCCTTCCTGTTTCTTCCTTGTTGGGGCTAGACTACTGCAAGGAAGCATCCTAGGTCCTCTCCTATATACAATATACACTGGCGATATATATGCTCCCTACAAAATCCTGCTGGATCAACCCGCCGTCTAAATTGACCTACTTAATAACCGCTAGGTTAGGTTGTCATTGTCATTTGGTGACTTACCTTTTCCAGTCTTCTCACCATTAAAATTTTTGATATTATGTACGTATGTATATGTGTATACATATATGTATATGTTTTTTTTTACTAAATGTTAATTTTGTTAATCAACATAATATATATCATTTGTTTGTTGCATTAATTTATTATTTTATTAATTTTAATTTTTTTTCTTTGTAAATTTCAGGAGATATGTAACTGGGACAGTGCTGGTCTTGGGACGATTTTCATCGAGTTCAACCTCCGCATGTATAGAGATTGTTCCTTACCAAATTGAAAGTCAATTTTTTCATCCTAATTATTTGTTTGTATTTTGATTTTGATTTTTTTCTCTGTCTTTACCATCTTACGTATACAAAATAGGGGTGCCATTTTCTTTTTCTAGTTTTGACTGATAGAGCGTCAAAAGAGGAAATTGATTTTTTGAAAATATCTTTGAAGTTTGTTAATAGGTAAGTTAAATACTTTGTGATCAAAATGGAAGGTACTGCTCTATTATTATGTACATTATAAATAGACTACAAAAATAAAAAGTTAAAATCATAGTAAGAATCTCAATAATATAAATTTGCCATATGATATGTTTATTAGTTTATGATTTTTTTTCCTTGTTATATAAAGCTTTGTGAATATTTACATTCCTATGTTTTAATGTTAATTATTGGTGGACAATTATTTTTATACTAATTTTATTACCTGAAATGTATCATAAATGTGTTGTTTTTGTGGTTTGCGTTATGTGTTATTTTAAAGATGAACTATTCTTAATTTGTACAAATGTATAACTTTTTTTGTTCTTTTTTTGTCGTCCTTTTACCATTTACATTCCTATCACTTTGTACCTACTCTAAGTCTAGTTGTTTAGCATGTAATATTGTATTGTTATATGTATAAATATAAATTAAATTCATGACAATGTATCTATATGTTATTATAAAACATATCAATTATAATTTTAGCCGTTAGTTCCATTTTTAATTCGTATTTACAATAAATTATTGTAATAGTTCATAAGCACATAGTTTGATTAATATATTCTGGGTGTGGAGGTCACAAGCAAATAACTTTAGCCTCTTATAAGTGTTTATGAATGGTAAATATATAGATAGAATATTAAATTGCGCTTATTTTAAAATTCCTTGACTCCAGCATAATAATAAGGAAAATGGATTCCAATTTAAAAAAAAAAAATAGTGATAGGATTTATGAGACAACAAAAATCAAGTGGTCGTGTGTTCAGACCAAAGAAATCCAAAGCAGATTGTTATTTTATTTAATTTTTTTTTTTTTTTTGAGGGTTTGTAACAGCAGAGGTCATAATGTTGGGTTCGAATGCAGGACGGCTGGATTCAACCCACGATCTTACAGAGATGAGCGCTGTGTCAACATCTAAACTGTTGCGGCCACCGACACCCCCAGATACTAGGAAAGTACACCCTCAGTTTTTCAAGCTGAATACCTGACGTCAACGCTTGGACTTTAGAAAATCTTAAAAGGTTACACTGACAAAATAAACTTCTAAAGCTAGTACGCACTGGGATTCTTTGACTCGATTCATTGTTGCGATGCAGCCTTGACTCTGCTCCACAACAAAGAACAGTGTCCAGACCAAGATTCAGTGCACATTCATCAGTGCCTGTGAAAATGACGGAGGAACTATCTCTCTTGGGAATTTCCCTTGCTCTTTTTTGCATTGCATATAGTGCATCCGATCGGAAGTGCATTAAAAAACTGTCCCTTTAAAGTGTGCATTTTTTTCAATTTCGGCGACAGAAACACTGAATTTTTGGGCTAAACTGTTCAATGTTTAGCTTTCCAATTCCGTGAATGATACATCCCACAAACACCGATGGGAATGCATGTCTTCAATAAACTGTAAAGTCAACTCGGTACTCCACAAGATACCTTTATACAAGACACTATCAAAATCATCAAGAAAACACTAGAACATCAACTAAACAAATGAAGCAAGAGCGCTTTTTCCGATTCACGTCCGCACTGGCAAATGTTGTGCAACATTGAGTCAAAGAATCCCACATCGGATGGGATTCAAGTGTCCGAAAATGCTAGTCCGCAACACACCAGATTCATCGCAACAATGAGTCGGGGCAGCCCGGACTCAGGCTAGATGCAGCCGAGACTCTCCTGAGATTCAAACAGTCGATTCAAAGAATCCCAGTGCGTACTTAACTTAAGATCAGATAGCCAAGCAGCTATTAAAAGTATTAGCATATAAACAAAATCAAAATAAGACATTGAATGCATCCAAAATCTCTAAACAATCTGATATCATAGATGCCTGTACACAAAAGAATTTTGGTAACGAAAAGACACACTGGCCAAAAGAGGATTTGCAAGGTCATATATAGGTCTCGAATATTTTTGGAATAATAAAAATTAAACATAATAAAAACAGAATTCTCCATCACAGGCTGGATCAAAAAAGACGAAAGGAGAAGGACAAACTATAAATGTAGCTGGACTTAATAACCCTCACCAAGACTGGATCATTGCTACAGTTTGGAATTACTAAAACTCAGGAGTGTAGTTCTCCTTAGGAAAAGGATCAAGTCAGTTGAACTGAACTAATAAACTAGACAAAGTACAATAAGTCAGAAGGTGGCAGCATTTGAGGAACAGGAAGCTCTCCACTTCTTAGATTTCCATAATCATCATCAATTCTTGTCATAAAGTTTAACTAACCCTTTGGGTGTTGTGGACGATGGGTCAACCATTTTCAATACTTTTTTTTATTTTATTCCCAATTAAAAAGCCATGATATGCTACGGTTCCATCGCAAATACAAGTTGGACGCCCTAACCTCTTGACCTCCATTGTTCCTAGTTGTCAGAATAATTAGTATATTGAATGGCTGATTGAACATTTGGGTTGAAGTTATAATTTCCAAGCATGCATGATGGATGTGGTCTCCGAGAAAGAGGCACATCATCAGATGCTGTGTTTAAAAAAAGTTACATAAGTGGCATGATAGGTTACTCACACGAAAATATGGTCTGTTTTATATTAGCCACGGTAAATCCATTGGATGATGGACACTGGATACATGAAATTAAAGAAACAACGTTGATAAAGGAGGTTGTCATTTGATCCTGCAACAATTCACTTATTAACCTATTTGAACTATGTGTACTTAGTAGTAAATAAAAACAATTAGACTTCTTGAAATTTTTTATGTTGGCAGTTGATCATAATAAATATAAACGAATCCTGGATTTTACTATTGCCCGTTTGGTAATTGGCCATGATCTTGTTTTATAATATCAGCTGTTCTTTCTGCGATCATAATTGTAGGACTATTTATATTGGCAGATGTGATTACAGGTATTACCGAGGCGTCAATGACCCTCAGATTGTTGACTCCGTAGACTTGCAGTTTAGGATTGACCACAGCCGTGGGGTCGGATGACGGGCCCATTTTGCACGTGCCGACCGGATGGTATATCGTTACAGAATACTGCATTAACAAGCATAATGAAAATTCATTTGGACTGTTAGTATGATTGGAGCACAGCGGGTAAACCGATGAGTTGAATTGTGTCCTGAATTGTTGCAGCGATTTCGTCTGTGCCAGTCGGTAGACTATTTGAAGCATTTCTATTCCGGCTTGGATGTCAGTCTGCGATGTGAGATATCTTGGGTCTATCAAAGGCATCGAGGTAGGATTTGTATCCCGGAGTCTGATCGTGCCTCTGCTCTCTGGATGGAGGAAAAAAGAAAGAAGCACGAATTGTTGTCCATCACGATTTGTTGGGACATAAGTGGAGAATAAGAATTCAACATCTGGTACTCCATTGAAATTTGAGTCGTTCAAATTAATAAACGCCACGCACTCAACACCGAGTAGTGTTGTTAACGGGCCTTTTCTGTTCTTAGCATAATCTAAAATTGCTGAAAAATTCTCATAAGTAGATCTCCAATTAATAGTAACATTGTTCTGTACATCAAACATTACTGGTACACCGACATGATCATGCAAATTATCACCGACTCGCAAATTTTGAATTATTGTTATTCCTAGTTCTTGCAGGTGTTCTGCGGGTCCGATTCCTGATAGCATGAGCAGTTGTGGGCTGTTGATAGTTCCTGCTGAAACTATGACTTCCTTTGTTGCATTCACTGTCATGTATTGGCCATCCTTGATGAAAGTGATTCCAGTTGCTGTTTTGGTTTGTGGATCGATGTTGATCTTTGTTGCATGTGCTCTCATGGCGACGACGAGATTTCTCCTCCTCCTAGCCGGTCTCAGGTACGCCTTGCCTGTACTACATCTTGTTCCGTTTATGATTGTACCTTGGGCGATCATAAATCCGATTTGCCTCTCGCCATTTACATCGTTGTATGGAAAGCCCATCTCTCCTCCTGCGTTAATGAATGATTGGGCCAATGGGGTTAAAAATGGACTTCTGTCTACTGAGACCATTCCGTCACGAGAGTGAAAAGGTGATTCCATTGTGTTCGGGTCCTTGTTATTCTCGGATTTTAGAAAATAAGGAAGCACATCTTCAAAAGACCACCCAGTGTTTCCCATATCTGCCCAATTGTTATAGTCCCAACGATTTCCTCTTGCGAAGACAAAATCATTGACGACGCTTGAACCTCCTATGACCCTCCCTCTGGGCCATATACACGTACCATTTGTCACTACAAATAACACATTTTTTATTTAATCAAATCCAAATTAAATATGATACTGAATCTACCTCCGCAAGCGTTCTGTTGAGGAATGGTCGTGTAATTCCAGTCCATGTCGGTAAACCAAAGGTTGTAATTTAAAAGAGGAGTGTCAGAGATGACTGTCTCGTCTCCACCTGCTTCAACCAATAGAACGGTCCACCCAGATATTTCTGAAAGCCTGTTTGCCAAAACGCTTCCTAAACAAACAAAAATTTAGTCTTAAAACATAAAACAACAGAGAGAATATAAATTTTAAGAAAAAAACATGAATATGGTTAAGGTTAAGGTTAAAAGAGTTGACTCTTTACAATATTGTGCACTGCAACCAGTATTGGTCTATTGTGCAATCTCTGTTATTATCTAGAGCTCTTTGTTAAGCTTATAGCATTTCGTCAGATCCTGAAGCTGTGATAAAGGGTGGTGGACAACTTCAGGTCTTTGTTTTTCATGTTCTGAGAATAGGAATCAAAGAAGCCTTCATACCTCCAAAGGAATGTTACTCTTTTTCTTCTTCTTCTTGGCAATAGGCTTGTTTGTTCTAAAGTTTAAAAGTACTGCTGCTGTTCTGCAATGGTCATGAATGGAAATTTCAGAAGCTTCTGTCCTTATTCTTAACACATTGTCTAATGGATCTATATTCAGGGTATATATATATAAAGTATTCAGGGTCGATAGGTGTTCTCATTGAACTTTCATTGATCAATTTATTGATCTTCTTGTCACCCCTCTGCCTTGTATGCCATGGTACCAAAACAGGGGTAATTTCTCTTTATGTCTCTTTATCTGACAGGGCCTTAATTTAAGTTTTGGACTTCACTAACTATAAAGTAGTTGCCTTTAGTGTCACCTGGCTGTATAAGTAGTACATGGCTAGTAGTAGATGGCTATTTTATTTTTAAATACCCAACCATCTTATGGCAGTGTGTTCAACAGTGAATGTCTATGCCTGAAAGGCAATGGTATATTGCTCAAGCCTTATGAGTATCCTAGTTCTTGGTTTATTTCCACAGATACCAGCTTCTGAACCATACTCAGGCTTTGAGCCAACTGTATACCAGATATAGTCAGCTTTAACTGATAATCTTTTGTCCCTGTTTGCTCAATCTGAATAGTCCAAATCTGAATTTGGTCTGAGGTCTTGGATACATAGAGAACCTTGTCTGGCTGTTCCTCCAGAAGCCTTAATTATCTTATGCAAGTGTGTATGGTGTATTCAGGAGGACTTCAAAGCCAGCCATGTGGGTCCTTCTAATCGCTCCTGAAATGCTCTTTCTATATAATACACTTAATGATCAGTTTGGTTTTGCAATTTCAGAGTCGCCATCAATCTTACAGTACTATCACATTTTTGACTATTGCTACCACCCTCGAGCAGAATCAGTACAATCCTGGTATCCTGGACATTTCAAGTTTTTAGTGGATTCAAGCCCCTAACCCAAACTTGGTTTTAGAGCCATCTGTGTTCCTAATTAGCTCTGGCCTCTTACCGCCCTCGAGCAGAATCAGTACAGACCTGGTATCTTGGACATCTCAAGTTTTTAGTGGATTCTAGCCCTTAACCCAAACTTGGTTTTAGAGCCATCTGTGTTCCTAATTAGCTCTGGCCTCTCCTCCCTGCCGTGAAGTTAGATTCAGGAGGACTTCCAGGATTGTTCTCTTTGAATGCCTCTGGGCAGTAATGAAGATCCTGATCACTCTCAAATGAGATGTCTTTAACCTCCAAACCACCAAACTAAGGTTATCATTAGTCTAACAACCACTGTGAATAACCAAAGGAAAATCTTTCAATTTAGTTTTCAGCTCTTCCCAAAAAGGCATTGAATTTATAAATGGCACGTTTCACTCTTTCAGTTTCTCACTAGATGGTTATATGTTGTGGTGGTATACTAGACTCTGATATGTACTAAGAATCCTACCACTCCGAGATGTCTTCATCCAACCACTCTAGGTTATCACGATGCTGTGTCTAACCTTTGACATCTTTGACTTTAGTTTCCAGCTTTTCCCACTGATGAATTTACATCTACCAATGGTTATTTTCGCTATTTATTTGATTTAATTAAGCTGCTGGTACCTTGAAAGCCTTTGGTCAAACATGAAGCCTAGATATTTCACTTCTTTATATTAGAGCTTGGTACTAAAAAAAGTATTGATGTTCATTTATAACAAATTATACCAAAATATAAACAAAGTCTTGGTCAAATAAATAGTTGTGAAATAACGCACAGACCTATGAAAGTGGTAAAATGCGCCTGTTAAGAAAACCCAGTTTCATAATTTGTAATTTTGTAATGAATCTTCTTTTTTCTGTTACAAATATTTTAAAGATTAACAACATGACCAAAGGAGTCATGAAATGTATATTTTCTAACGGGGAAGTTTATTGCCTCAATAATAACAAAATTATGCTACAGAAAATTATTTTACTTAATTTATACTGTCATTTGTAATTGATTTTATGCCGATAGTACCCGATACAATCTGAATATTTTTGAAACAAAGATGCATAATACGGTGGCCACCTGTAGTTACTACGGTACCCAATAGGTGTCACTACCAGTTTCTGCAGCCAATCAGAGTTGAGCCATTTCGTATATAAGCAGGGGCATTGCCCCATTGACTTCAGACTCGTCTCCTCGACGAGATCTCACTGCACACCTTGAGTTTTGAACGTGGCTAGTTAATGAGCTGTCGCCAATCACGAATGAAGCACCGAAAACGACCGCAAAGGTACTCGCAGCATTACTGGCCAACTGCTGAACCAGAGTTCCTTCAACCGCTGCAGAGTCAACTGACTCTCTATCAAGAACCACTACCAACGTTCCCAGTCTCGATTCATCGTCTCAACACTATAAAACAACACCCTGCCCTTCTCAGGGCCACCAAAAATCTCCCAGTCAAACAAAATTATTATTACCTGCAGATCCAGCGCCTATTATTATGAAATCATATTCTTCCTGTAGAGCCCAGATGGGGTGATTAGTCGCCCTTTGGTTAGGATCGATGTCGGGGTAGTTGTAGTAGGTGATGGCCGCTGTGAGAAGCGTTGTGAACATGGTCATGGTGTTGGAAGCTCCGTTGTCCATTTTTTCCTCCAAAAACGATCACCCCTTCTTCAAAGAAGCCTAGAGGTAAAATGGTCGAAAAGTGTACCCAGACACTTTGTCCTTGTTGTTGAACATTGTACTTATCCAAGACATTAACCAAAAACGTACGATAGCGGTTACTTTAAGGGGGATTTTTTTGAAAAATTTATCAACCTGAAAAGAGATAAATTTAAAAGAAAATTAATTATACCAAACTTGGGCGCTAGACTTAAAGTCAATGATAAGAGAAAATATAAGAAAAACTTTTCATGTCATTAAAGTCAAGCTAAAAGATAAGTTCGCATATTAAGCAAGAAAAATAGTATTCTTTAGGCCAGGAAAAATTTTTCTTCTATTTTCCACAGAGTGCGTGGTAATGTCCGTTTCCGAAGCTTCTTGTTTATTTTCTTCCCCAATCCCAATTTCTCACTCATGCTCTTTTCTCTAACTTTTCAATCAGTATAATGTATTCCTATGCCTACTAGGCACCTTATTATACTTATCTAAACACTGATGCTGGACCAAAATCGATGATTCATTTACCAGATAAAATCATCTGTATAGTAACTAAGGAAGACCTGGATAAGACGAATTTTCCATGAAAAACAGTCCAAGAGGAAACCTACCGATAACGATACTCTCTCTTTGGTAAGGGCGCGATTCTGAAAAATATTTTGGTCCTTAGATCCATCTGTTACTGCAGAGTACAGTGACAAAACTATCACTCTAGTGAGAGGTCTTAAAATGCTTTAGATGCCAATCCTAAAGACACATGACAACATACTGCATCAAGACAGCTCATGAAACAGGATTAGAAGATTCGCCTACACGCAGACACCCTTGATAAGTAACCTTTTTTTGTATCCCGGAGGTATTTTGTATTATATCATTATTTTTGTTTATTTCGAATGCCCTTCTTTCATCTATTTTTTAAAATTTTCTTTTAATTTAATTAAGTTTAACAGCGAAAGGGGGCGTTGTCCGCTACGGATTAGGCGTTGACACGGGCTTCATCGCCGTAAGGTAAAGGTCCCAGGTTCGAACCTCATATATTTACAAACTTATTTGGGGATTTTGGGGTTAATATGACCTGTGCTTTTGCAATCCCGAGAAACAAAATCCCTAAAAAAGGAGGTCCGCTCAACATGGTCCTCCGGGCCGGATAACCTGGTAAAATTAATAAATTGAACTGCATTACATTTCAAGCGTGAGCTATAGTTCAAACCTAAGGATTATTTTCCTTATATTCTTATGTTTTCTTCAATAAACACTCTCTGTAAGATTCGGATTGTATTTAGATTTATATAAGCTCAAAGCTTGTCACATCTCGTCATTAGTCCACCAAAAATTCCAGCTTTTGCAGTTTACAATAAATCACCTCGGGTGTTGGCGGTCCGGGGTGAGATCTCGGGCTTATCCGTCCAGCCATTCAGTTTGGCTCCTGATGTAAACAGCTAGGTCAATTTCACACCCAACGTATGCTCTTCCTAGATCCAAAACCACTCTCACTTAACCTTAAATACATTCTACCTATTTACATGCTACTCATTCAGGGTGATGGAGTACTCTCCATCATCCTTTATACCTAGATTAGATTATATATAGGAGCCGGCCTCTTTACTACCTGCGCGCCGCGACCAGTATTGGTTTATTGTGCATCTCCATTTTTTTTAATCTATAGCTCTCGTTAACCATAAAGCTTTTTACCAGATCCCAAAGCTTTTTCAAGAGCATCCGTGTATAGCCGTTTTTTTGGCTTGGATTAAACCCTATCTTTCTGCACCAATTTTCATCAATCATGAGTCCTCCTGTTTTACTATTGGCAGATGATATAAAAGTTTTCACCGTTGTTAATAATATTCAGGGAAATGTGTGATTGCAGGAAGATTTGTAACAATTTGCCTGTTGGTATGTGAGGAACGAACATTCGCTTAATTTTGTCAAATGTCAGTTTATCCTGGAGGAAACATCACATCACCCCTTCTCCTCTTGGGATCGCAATTAAGTGGGACGTCTAAGATCCCTTGGGAGTAACTTTCGACTATGTTCATTTTTCCCCTACTTTAGTTCTAGCTGAGCGTAACTGAACCTTGGGGTTGCTCAAGAGGCTTCAGGTTTCCGGAATTGTCCTAAAACATCTATATTTTACGAGCATACTCGTTTTTCCACTGAAGTCCTGGGTAAATTACTTATTTTAAAAACTTCCTCTGAACACTTTCAAGCAGATTCTTACAAGGTGACGACCAGGTTGGTGTGTCACGGATTCGGACCAAACTTTTTTTGGTGATTCTACCCTCCAAAATATCGGACACGTATCCGCCAATTATGAATAGGCCCTGGTTTCCCCAAAAAGTTTTGTAAGTTGAAATTTAAGGTTTTTCAATGTTTTTATTTTGCCGTTTTACTTGCTCAAATCAACTGTGTGAATATTTCACAGCATTTTTATGTAGGTTGCAATAAAATTATAATGAAAGCTATCAAAGTTTACAATAACCAAAAAATTAAAACAAAAAATTTTTAAGTACTGTCATAAAAATTTTTTCTTTAAAAATAATATAAAATTTTTATTTTTTTTAATCTAAAATTTTTTAGTATTGTATAAATTCATTTTTTTAAATGTAAAATTTTCTAGCATTGTATAAATTCATTTTTTTAAATCGAAAATTTTCTAGCATTGTATAAATTTATTTTTTAATCTAAAATTTTCTAGCATTGTATAAATTCATTTGTTTATTCTAGTTTTCTAGCATTGTATAAATTCATTTTTTTAACCTATAATTTTCTAGCATTGTATAAATTCATTTTTTTAGCTAAAATTTTCTAGTATTGCATAAATTCATTTTTTTTTATCTAAAATTTTCTAGCATCGTATAAATTCATTTTTTTATCTAAAATTTTCTAGCATTGTATAAATTCATTTTTTTAAATGTAAAATTTTTTAGCATTGTATAAATTCTGTTTTTCATCTAAAATTTTCTAGCTTTGTAAAAATTCATTTTTTATCTGAAATTTTCTAGCATTGTATAAATTCATTTTTTTAATCTAAAATTTTCCAGCATTGTATAAATTCATCTTTTTATCTACAATTTTCTAACATTGTATAAATTCAATTTTTTTAATCAGAAATTTTCTAGCGTTGTATACATTCATTTTTTATTCTCAAGTTTTTTAGCATTGTATAAATTCATTTTTTTAATCTGAAAGTTTCTACATTGTATAAAAGTTTTTTTTTTCAAATCCTACTTGTATTTGTAAAATTTAAACAATGTCTATAAATCCCAGGCCCTGAAGATGATCCCAATAAAGATCGAAACGTTGGCACGATAAAGAAAATGTTTTTCTAAAACCTACATCACACCAGACCGCATCTCACGATCTCCGAATAATCCTAAATATCAATTTTGTTAGAATTTAAATTTATAGATTTTGATTATTTATAGATTTTTGATAGAAACAGGTATAATTCAAAACTGGCACAAAGGACACTTCAAACATATGATTTTTTTTTAATGGAAATAACAGCCCGATTTTAATGTTTGATACAGTCATAGAATGCGTTTGACAATTCTTTTAAAAAGAATTATCAAACATAAAAATGTATCTGTTAGATTTTGAAAAAAAAATGGTGATAGAGCTTGTACTATGAATATCAGCCACGCCAAAAGGTCGAAATTACCAGTCAGAAAATTAATTTCCTCCGATTTACGCGAAAATCGATAACTGAGGGTTTTATTATGGTATAAACATGTCAATGAGGTCAAATCCAAGTTTTGCCCACTTACCTAACACAATATTTTTTAAAATCTGAAAAAAGCAGTATTTTGTCGATTTATCTTTTTAAATCTTTTTAAATTCTGCGTTGTAGATCAAGTTTGTTTTTATGTTAACCAACAATGAAATTATTATACCAAATATAATATAATTTTAATTTATAAATAACGATTTATGCTCATTTAATTAAATTTACTTTATACTTATAATCTTTATTAATATTATCATTTAAAATAATTAACTAACATTTTAATTTATATAATATAACAATAATATTATGTTATTATATTAATTCGTCATTCTAAATTTATTATAATGGAAGTTGCTCAGCAAAACTCTACAGCACATTCTCAACAAATATCAAATTTATTAATTTTGAAACAGGAGGGATTAAATATAATTCTGGTTGAATGAATTTAATTATTTATTTATATTGTACAAATTAAAATATTTCTTTTCACGTAGTTGATTTGAGCAAGTGGTACTGGGAAATAAAAATAATAAAAAAACTGTAAATTTCAACTTTCAAAATTTTTTTTGAAAGTTGATGATTTATGCTCATTTAATTAAATTTATTTTATACTTATAATTTTTACTAACATTACCATTTTAAAAAAATTAATTAACATTTTAATTTATATAGTATATTATTATATTAATTTGTTACTCTAAATTTATATCAATGGAAGTTGCTCAGCAAAACTCTACAGCACATTCTCAACAAATTTCAAATTTATTAATTTTGAAACAGGAGGGATTAAATATAATTCTGGTTGAATGAATTTAATTATTTATTTATATTGTACAAATTAAAATATTACTTTTCACGTAGTTGATTTGAGCAAATGGTACAGGGAAATAAAAATATTTAAAAAAACGGTAAATTTCAACTTAAAAAAAAAAATGGCGAAACCAGGGCTTATTCACGATTGGCGGATACGTGTCCGATATTTTGGAGGGTAGAATCACCAAAAAAAGTTTACATTGTGGAGTGTGGAATAGCCAAAAAATTGAAAGATTAATCTACTTGAAAATGTTCAGAGGAAATTAAATAAGTAATTTACAAGCTGGGACTTCAGCTGAATAATGAGTATGACGAACGGTTGAAACTACAAAATGTTCTTCTTTCAGGAGCTCTGTTGATTGGATGTGTTTCTTGCTGAAGGTGATGAAGGAATGGCAGCCTCCTGTCGACAACCTCTTAGCCAAATTGGTCGTCAGCGACAGTTTTTACAACCAATAAAATAAATTACGGAAAAATTGGTTCAATGACTTACATGGAAAAGGCCTATAATGAAACCTTGGA